GGAGGATGAAGATGGCCGTGTTGATGACGAGGGCGAGGTTGATGCGGTACGGGTACGAGGCCTTGGCCTGCATCGAAGTCAGGATGGCCATGGCGCCGAGATTTGTGATTGTTGAGACTGTCAGGATGGCTGATTGGAAGTTCTGTGTGATCCAGACGTCGGATTGGAAGCGCATCTGGAAGTAGGGTGCCGCGGCGAGGAACATGTTCCTGAGGAGGAGTACGATTAGCCAGTGGACGAGAAGAAAGGGGGAAGACGGGAAGTGCTCACCACGCCCAGAGCATGGCCATGCCTAGGAGGGCAAAGATGCCATACTCGAGCCAGGAGAAGGGCACCTCGTCTCGGCCGTCTTGGAGGAGCGAGGAGCACTCGACGGCGGTGTTGGCATCGTCGGCGAAGGATTCCTCAGCCAGGGGCTGGTAGTCCTCGCTCTCCAGCTTCTGCCGGAAGAAGCCCTTGATACGGTCCATGGTTGTATTTGCGTTGAGGCGTCGGGGCCTGGCCTGGTTTCTCGTCGGGCTATCTGTGCATTGAAGACGGTGGGTGTTGAGTTATGTCGGACGGGAGGTTCGGGAGGTTGAAGGTTGAGGATCTCGTGGTCTATGCGGTTGCGCGGCGGGTTCCGATAGAGAATGTAGAATGACCCGCGGGGTCTTGCGGTATCGGACTTGTGGGGAGTCAGGCACGTCGTGGTTTGTGCCGCTGTCACCTGGGTTGTTCACGGGGTTGATGGGGTTGGAGGCTGCGCTGGGAACGGTGATGATGCACTTCCGCCAGTCGCGGCACGGGAGCTTATCGCGTGGTGTCCGTTATCAGGTGAGGCGGATGAGTTGGCCAATCAATGGTCATTTTGGCCGACCCACCCCCACGGTTGAAGCTGGGACCCTGAGCACGCGCTTTCCATCGATCTGGCACTTCCCCAGGTCTGACCAGCACCAGTACCAGCATCGGAATCACGACGACATGCCCTGCTGCCATTCAGCATCTTCCGCTTTTTCGCTTCGGCACGGGCGCCGTGTCGACTCAGAAGATTCGGTCCAGAGTTGCGACTGCTAGCCTCTCTATCAGGCACTTTGAACGCAAGAGCCCACGTTCACCTGGCATGGCCATTCGCATCGTCCGCTCAAGCGAGCGAAGCCGACGGAACTCACGGAGCATCGAAATCCCATCGATTGCCACATGGCTGCATTCCAATAAGCCCGAGTCCTGTCGTATCTTGCTACCGAGTCAGAACGAAATGAGGACGGTCGACGATGCTCGGTGCATGATGGAGGGACGAGACCAGCGCCCACAGTCATCAAGCCAGCACGCCTTGGGTCAAGTCCAGCCTGACTGATGTCCGGGATTCCTGTGCTGTCTTCGTACCACCCGAAGGCGGCTGACGGGCTGAGGGCTTCGGGACCGAATTTGCGAGCTGGTAGTCATCATGCACTGCAAAGTCATCACGTACCGGCATCAACCAAACCCTTTTGCCCACCGCCTCGTCAATACTTGTTTGATTCCAGCTCGAAGGCTCCCCAGGAGACCCCGAGGCAGGTTGGCCGCACGGTCCGGCGCAGGACCCTTGCCAGAAGGCCATCGGCGCAGAATGCGACCTATTTTGGCCCCCACGTCCACAGGGCTGAGCGTCTGTACCACTCAGGGGCTGCTCTTCTGATGTGGGCTGTCCTAGGCGAACCATTCAATCATCGTGGCCCTCTCACAGGTCTCCAGTCCTCGTTCCCAAAGTGCCTCGGAGACCCTGATTGCCCCCCCTTGCCGCCAGGGCTTGGTGCAACCCTTGTCGCGGTGTACGATGGGTGGGAGGTTGGGCGTCTAATCACCCAATGCCTCCCCGTAGGATTTTCTCCTGTTGTCACCCTCTTGTCGCGTCAATTGTTCCTCGAAATCCGCCACCCAGCATTTTGCCGACGATCACAAACTTACTTCCAGGATAGCTGCCGCCTTCGACCACAAAACCGAGCTGCGTCTAGGCACTGCCCTGCCTGGAGGAACAAACATGGTCGTCATCGCCGGCGAGACTGGCACCGTCCTCGGGCCCCTTACTACCGTCTGGGTACCGCCAACGACATGTACCGCCATCCTACCCCTTTGCGCGACCTGCGACGTCGGCTTCCAGGGCCAGATGTGCGAGTCGCGAGATGACGGACTGGGCCACGCCCGCGACAACACCGGTTGCTGGCCGCCTGTCTTGTCCAAGGTTGCTTCGCCGAACCCGCCCTTCCTCGGCTGGGGCTTCTACTCTCCAGGTCTCGAGTGTCCGACAGGATACACGTCGGCGTGCACAGCCGAGTATGGACAACGGCCAGACTGGCAGAACCAATTCAACCTCGTGCCAGGAGAGACCGCCATAGGATGCTGCCCAAGGCAAGCTACTCTGCCATCACGACATGCGGCGGAGGGCCAGGCTAACTGATTCGCAGTGGCTACCAGTGCACCAACTACTACGGCAACACATGTATCCTCGTCGCCTCGACGACCACAATCGCCGTCGAGACGGGTTCCTGCTCGGGCAACGATTTCACCGGCATCGAGCTCGCCTCGTTCCCCGACGTCATCACCCGCACCGAGTCTCTCGGCGGTGACTCGAGCAACCCCCCATCTGCGGTGCAAACCGTCACCGAGCTGCGCACCATGACCCTTCTCGCGCCCATGTTCCAGATCAATTTTCAGTCCACCGATCTTCCCGGGTACACCAGCACCGTCTCCACAACAAACACAACCACGGAATCGTCCACCACGACACAGAGTTCAGCAGAGACATCAGCATCGACGGCCGGGGCTTCTTCCGGCAGCGAGGACTCAGGCCTAACAACCGGCGCTAAGATTGGTGTCATCGTCGGCTCCATCGCCGGCGGACTGGTCTCCCTCGCCCTTGTCGGATGGGGTCTGTACAAGCTCCGGCAACTACGCAGCGCCGCTGCGCAGTCCTCAGCAGCAACAGCACCCAGCGCATGGGGTCAGCCGCCACAGGGCCAATACCACCCAATGTACCCGCAACAACACTCCACGGAATATCACGACCACAGCGGCTGGGTTGCCGCGGGCCCCATTGAGATGGACAGGGGCCAGGGCACACCGGCGGAGCTGGACCGAGGACATGGCATGCCGGCGGAACTGGATCGAGGACAGGGTACGCCGGCTGAGATGTCGACGTACACGGATGACTCGAGGGGGCATAGTCCGTACAAGCCGCCGGGGGTGGATGGGACTTATTACCCGTATCGGTAGAGCAAGGCTATGAATGTGCGCTTGGTGAATCTCATCATGTGTCTCGTGGGCAGCATGGGCTTGCCGAGGTGACTGTTGAATGCTCCCCTGCCGCCTCAGTGGCTGCCACCGAAAATCTTATTCGGCACCTGAGTCCTCCAGTAACTGCCGCCTTCTCAAATGCAATCAGCGCCCGGTACATTATCGGCGAGCAACAGCATGTCGTTCATCTTTTCCAAGCCATCGAAGGCGCCACGGTCAGTAACAGATGGTGCCTGAAAGCCACCGAGCTTGCTCAAGCCTTCAGGACCTATTTATACTTCCAGCATGTGGACGGTGGCAGACGCCATGCGACGAAGATGCGCAAGTATTCAAAGCTCGACATGCGCCTCACACATACGCCTCCTAAGAGAGAGGAATTTTCTTCATGCTGCCGCCTTACTGCCCTGATCCGTCTATAAAGCATGAGTCGCTCGCTCTAATTTCCCTCTCGTTTCTTCATCCACATTCATCTCGACGTTGAACCTCTGCCAGCCATTTCCGCACTTGAACTCTTGACGCATCTTTGAAGCCCAGCCACTTTCCATTTCCTCCATACTTCTGCTTTCAATTCAACCCCTATCTTCTTCCACAATGTCAGAGTCTTTCCAAGTTGTCGACGTGCACAAGCGCCGCGCACACGACACTGTCACTTACCGCATCCTTACGGCCAAATCCGTCGCCTTCAAGTACCTCGAAACCAAGTCAAAGGCCGCCTTTACCGCTGCTTCGCACCCCGCAGATATCTTCACTTTCCACAAGGTTCCCATCGGGGACTAGACTATTGGCAAACTCATGGAGGACATCTACGGCAAGCTTGTGCTTGTATCTGTCGAGAACACCACTATCCTCAGCGGCGTGCCCTGGCACCCAACTCGCATCGACGAACTCGACCTCCCATCCAAACTCAGCGGTTTCAAAATCACAGACGAGGTGCAATGCCAAGGCCACGTCACCGGCAGAATCATCCGCACACCTCGCTGGCTCGCTGGCTGTAGCACTGCTATCTGCCTCTTCAATTGGAATCGCTCAGTCTATGGCCCTGAGCATGAAAGCAGCATCTACAGGCTGATTCAAGGATTCAACATTGGACCAAGGTTTCTGGCTCACATCACTGAGAACAACACCCGCATTATTGGCTACATGGTTGAAAGAATCCAAGGCCGACTCCCCACAGCCGCCGACCTCCACGCCTGCCGTTCTGTTCTGGGAAGATTGCATAGCCTAGGCATTTCTCTTGGCAAGTTCACCAAGAAGTCGTTCATCGTCGACGACGAGACGGGCTGTGCATACATTTCGAGCTTCATCACTGCAGACACTCAGGGCACGAGCCAAGATGTCTACGACGCTGAGCAACGTCGTCTTGAGCATGTTCTCGGGGTTGCGGCAACTCGCGAGCGCCTCGACGACACCTGGTGGGCCAACAACGTGAGGCATGGGCCTCTGGGCACCGATGGTCGTCACCGCACTGGCGCGGAGGAACTCCAGGCCCAGTTTGCTGCACACAACCTTGACCACACCCCAAAGTTTGGAAACCAAAACAACATCCGCCATGTCCCAGTACAGCGACCCGCGAACTGCCATATCCGTCGCACACCTTCACAACGCGGCTGCAGCGACGTCCGCCGCGCCCCGTCCAAGCGGCATGGCGACAACAAACTCGGTCGCACCAGGTCGAGGCGGTAAAACCTCTACACCGCAACGGAAAAAAAAAAGTCGTCTCCCAGCTGAGCTGGGTTGTCTGTACATACCGACAAGGGCAGGATTTGAACCTACGCGGGCGAACCCAATAGATGGCCGAAACGAGCCCACAACGGAGCACATTCGAGTCTATCGCCTTAACCACTCGGCCACCTTGCCTTGTTTTGAGGTGGAGGCAAGAGCTGAAAGTTGCGCCAATGTACTGGGCGACCACGAATGAAATTGTACAAAGCTGCATCATATCACATTGAAACTACAATTGATACTCGTCGAGACGAAGTTTGATAGACTTGGTGATGTTCTAATTGTGGGTCATCTTGGGAGGGCACCAACCCGGGATCTATGCCTTGTATTGCAGCAAATGTTCACCTCGTGACTTTTCACTGACCAGCCTCTGGCCGTGTCTTTGGCTTCAATGGATAGACAATAGCACGATCGAGATCGGCTCCCTTGCAATCAGTCCCGTTGGTCAGTCCACTCACACGCAGCGTGTTTCTGCCCTGCTTCAGCGGAAGCTTGATCGTTGCCGCCAGCAATGTGCCCTTGTGTGTTGACCTTTGGGGGATTCGATGTACTTTCGAGCCGTCTCCGTTGACAATGATGCCGGCAAAACGACGGAGCTGCCAAGTACCCCCGATGCGATCAGGTTGGCCGAAGGCTGGGCACAGGTTAGCGAGTGCACTTGCTTGGTGGAAACGGGAGCCTTACGTTGGTCGCCGTAACCCATGTCGTCAATATCTGAGAAAGTCAGTACCTACTCTCCAACAAGAAAGGTCGAAGTTGCTTACTCTGGTAGTAGAACGAAACCCATTGATCGCCTCCTTGACCCTCGACAGTGAGTGTGATGCCATTCTCATCGCCGTGAATACCTGTAGCAATGACGCCGTGACTCGCAAAGTTCTGTTGGCGCAATATCAGCCCCCCTGCCTTCGTGACAGACAATCGACTTACTGCTTCTTGAAGGAATGCTTTCCCTCGAAGCTCACCATCTTTGGAGTAGTACGTCTTGCCCTCCACCAGCGCCCATTCGCCAGTTTTACTGCCATACCATTATCAGAACACTCGTTGCGGTCTGTGAAGTATGGAGACTCACGTGTCAAGATCATACACATCGTGCCAGAGGAGCTTCAAGTCTCGCCTCTCCTCATCGATTTCAACAGGCAGCCAGACGTTCCGGCTCTCCCAGATGGCGTTCTGGTCCCACTGTCTGACGTTAGAAGAACTGCCTCTTGAGAGGAGAGAAAGCATACCTGATCACCCATGTAGAGGTGTGTTGTCTTTTTCGTGCCTTCAAAACGGAAAGAAAAGCCAGATTGTGTGCTAAAAGTCCGAGTGTATGGCGGAGCGATGAAAAATGGTTGGGACCAAGGGCCTTTCAGAGAATCCGCGCGCATCGCGACGGCGTCTAGAGACATGTCAGCACCTACAACCTTGTGCTATCTGACCAGCAAGTCTTACTGTTTGGGCGATATCCAGTTTTGTGGCTCATGATTGCAAAGTAACTGCGATCCGTTTGGATGATGGTTGGCGCTTCAAAGTCGTACTTCTCAAAACAGTACGTCACCTCTTCGATTTCAGTGAGATCATCGTTGAAAGCACTGATGAACACATCGCGGCCGTCAACACCGTCACCACTGGAGTAGAGTGCGTAAGATTTGCCGTCCTTGTAGTCGGTGAAGATACCAAAGTCTTGAGATGGGGTTCCGAGGGGTTGCACTGCTTTTTGGAACTTGTAAGGGCCGGCGATATGATCTGCGATGGCAAGGCCTTGGGCGAGTCTGGAGTACTTGCTGTCGTCGGCGTGCCAGAACATCTGAAGGGGAACATGAGATCAGAAGTGTCGGGATCCAATTCTTGAGGTAGGTCAAACTCACATGATATTTGCCAGTCTTTTTGTTGAAGACAACCTTTGGTCTCTGCATAACACCACTCGGAGAGAGCCATTCATGACCTTCTTGAGGCTCTGTTGCGAGTAAGTGACCTGAAGTCGCGTCTGAGGTTGTTTGACATACCCAGTGCCAGCCCATGGAACTCCCATGTGGCCAGATCTGGTGAACTGTACACAGAGACGCCACCTCCTTCGTGCTGATCCTTGGTCTTGTACTCTCCGAACCAGTAGAAGCGCCCAGTCTCGTGATCAACAGTCAGCCCACCGGCATGGGCGTTGAAGACATTGCCGGCCGTGTCGAGCCAAGTGGCTCCGGGAATAATCCAGACTGTGGCTGCATGAGTGGCCGAGATCAAAAAGCAAGCAAGGGGATACTGTACGTACCCATGGCTGCAATTGACGATGTGAGGGTACCTGACTGAATCGGGTGTCGTGCCGAGGCTGAATATTGGCTGCAACCAATTGACCAGCTCATATATGTTCACGAACAAGGCCCAATTCTGCGGTATGCTCCTGGCAGATCTTGCTTCTCCAAAACAGCTGGAGGCCGTGTGTCCAGAGAGTATTTCCATGCCTGGACTTCCTCGGTATTGAAAACCCCGAGCCGGTCGGTCCATGACCGAGATATATCTTGGCACGCACGCTTGGCACCAACGGTCGCCTACATCCGTTCCCCCGCGCCATGCCAAGCTTCCACGAAGGTGAGCTAGCGCAGCAGATCCAGGAAACGCAAAATCAACCCCCGGAAAAGCTGTGCTGCACAGCGGGCGTAGCTAAACACGGAATAAAGGAGCTGTCGTAGATCTTTGCCTCCCCAGGGACAGCTGCAATCTCATCCCCACGCGAAAGGCTTTGGTGTCCTCAAGTCCGAGGGTGGCTGAGCTTCGTTTCCCGGTTTCCTGCTTGCTTCGTCCTATTGAGCTCCGAGATGCTGTGGGGAGTTTTGGCTCGCGAGAGGCATGCAGTGAAGCTCAATATGCAGCACGATGTTACCTTGGGCATGTGCCGACGTTGACACTCCGCATTTCCAGACATGAACAGGCACGCACGATTCATCCAGCTGACAGTCAGCACTCTCTCTTCACAATCTTCCCCCTCCAACAACACCCATAATTCCTAGAGAGGAGCCTGATAAGGACGCCAACTTCGATCCCTTCCCTCACTGCAATGACGATGTCAGGATAGCAGGACGGTTCACCCCAAACAGCCACAACCCTCGTTCTTAGATACCTCGAACCACCGGACAACGACGCATCATGTCTGGCGCGCATCGGTCTTGTCACACCGACCTCCCTTGGCTCTGTGATAATTTCCAGGCGTCGTTGGCGCCACCAACTGCATGTGATGAGAGCCAAGAGCATTGGCAGACAGAAACAGGGCACGATCATCCGTCCATTCGCAGTGCCGGCCCCCCGCCACTCCATTGGTTCCTGGTGCTAATCTACATCTCACACTCGCCCTCGGCTCACTCCGGGCCGGGGAGGCTGTGTACGCGGGAGTCGTGCCAAGGCGACAAACCGCCAGCGCCAAGAAAACACCATTCACGCTTTGGGGTACCAAGACAGCGCTCAGGCTGGATGGATGCGGGGAATCAAAAGGAGGAGACATTGGCGCGAGGGGAGCTCGGTTTGGTTTGTCCCGAGAAGGGCTTCCTCTTGCCGTTTGATCAGGGCTGCTTTTTGAGAGGGACTTGCTTGCCAAGGGAAGTGGTGATAGCATGCTGAAGCTGTTGTCTGCGTGACCCCAGATCCCCCGCCATTCCCAGGAAGCTCTCTCGCCCCGCCCCCGCCCTTTGACTTGGGCATGTCGGGTGGAAGATGGAGGCTACGTGAGATGAGTGCCAGGTCCATCTTGGCAGCTCAGGAGTCGGGACACCTTCGGGCGAAGGGCGTTCGGGGGAAATCAAGTGGCAAGCATGTCAGTATATAGCATGCATCTTGCCCATCTTTTCGAGTGTTCTCACCTCCAGCCTTCTGCCACTTCTACCTTCCCTACAGGCCCTCCTTCTCCTGAAACCCGCCACGAGCACTTCAAGTTCACAATGGGCGCCCCCGAAGCCGACGAGACCGCCTCCAGGCGCGGCTCCAAGACCGAGGCCCAACACACCGAAATAGAGCCCCATGACGCCTTCCAGCGCACTCAAATCGAAACCGCCCTCCGCGTCGCCGACGAGGAGTCCCGCCTCCCCCGCAAGACGCTCTTCAAAAACTACTGGCCCGCCATCGTCTACAGCTCCCTGCTCAGCTTCGCCCTCGTCATGGAGGGCATGGACCTCGGCATGATCAACAACTTCTTCGGCCACAGCGCCTGGCTTCGCCGTTTTGGACACCCCCAGAGTGACGGTACCTACAACGTTCCTTCGGCTTGGCAGGGTGGCCTGACGGGCGCCAACCAGGCTGGCAGCGTTATCGGTCTCCTCATCAATGGATACCTGCAGTCGCGCTATGGGTCTAGGAAGGTCTACATGGGTGCCATGGTGTTGATGGCGGGCACGATCTTTGTGCTCTTCTTCGCTGTCAATATTCAGATGCTCGTTGCTGGAAACTTGCTCTGCGGTATCCCGTGGGGCATCTTCCAGACGCTCTCGACGGCGTATGCGGCGGAGATTTGTCCTGCTGCGCTTCGCGGGTACCTCACTGCATGGGTGTCCATGTGCTGGGGCATGGGGTCGTTCCTCGCTCAGGCTGTCCTGCGCGCCTCGCTCGGACTCGAGGGAGATCTTGGATGGAAGGTTCCTTACGCCATGCAATGGGTCTGGGTCGTTCCCCTCTTCATCGTTGGCTACCTCTGTCCCGAAAGTCCCTGGTATCTGGTCCGTCGCGGCCGTATCGACGATGCCGAAAACTCGCTTCGCAGACTGGCGAGAAAGGGCCACTACACGGAGGAGTCGATGGCTCAGACGCTGGCCTTGATGAAGCATACCAACGAGATGGAGAAGGAGGATGCCGCGGACGCCAGCTACCAGGATTGTTTCCGCGGGACTAACCTGCGACGTACCTTGATCGTTTGCGCCGTCTGGTGGATTCAGTCTTTCAACGGACAATCGCTCACAGGTTACGCCGCGCAGTTCCTCCAGGCTGCCGGTATGGACGAGACCATGTCGTTCAACTACTCGATGGCCATCCAGTCCGTCAACATCCTGGCCACGGGTATCGCCATCTCTTTGATGGGCCGTGTCGGTCGACGCTGGTTCTACTTCCTGGGCTCCAACGCCATCGGTTTCTGGATGGCCATGATCGGGATCATCGGTACCCTGACGCAAACCCCAAAG